GAAAGATTCTTTTCGGGAGGGAACGACTCTAAGTGGCTCCAGCCTCCTAAGAAACTGTATGTTTATTAAAGGGCCCCACGTCTCCTCACTTCCATCACTCTTTTGTCTAGAAGTTCGATGCTTTCCAGGAGAAGATCCCAATGTGCATGGGCAAAGGTGTGCCTAGGCTGGTCTGTCGTAGGTCTGACTAGAGACCAGGGACTGGATGAGGCCATCTCCCCAGGTAATTCAGGGTAGCATCCAAAGAGGCAGGAGCCTTGGACTCATAGGGAACAGCCGGGAGCCATGGAGAAAGGAGAGTCCCCCAAGCAAAAATACAGCCAGCATCTCTTAGGGGACTCTCAGCCTTGTTCATCTGAGATAAGTTACCTGCCTGCCCTACCCTACCGCTTGGAATATATTTTTAGGATCTTTTCATGAGCAAAACGTTTGTCAACCCTTTTATAGATCAGTTACGAAACAGAAACTCTTCCTCACTGCTAGGGAGATGTATAGATGGGGGGAAGAAAGAAAAAAAAATCTTGCCTGTAATCGAAGGCAGGTTGGGAGATGTTCACGCTTTGAAATTCTCCTTCTTGTGAAATGTTTATGAAACACTTTCCACAAACGAGTTATGCAACTGGCACTACAGCTTTGATCATTTTCATCGCCAGTGATATAGTCATTAATGTTGAGTTGTTTTCCCCCCAAGAGACTGTCATGTGAAATGTCCCGGGGAGGGGGCTAAGGCTAAGTACTCCAGCCCCGTTGCGTGACCCCAAACAGATGGTTAATAAGGAGGTCCAAGTGTAGATCTGGGCCAGAACATCACCTGTGGTCTGTTCTCTCTCCCATCCCTGAGATGTTTGTAGTCTTGTTTTGTAGATAGACTGCCTGGGGAGGGTCAGAGGACCATTCTCTTGTAACGTTTAGCCAGTGTCTTGTCGTGTAACTTTACACGCATCTCTGAAGCACTCCTGGTCTCTGTGAGATGGGAAGATAAACACTCATCCCCACACTTCCTGGCTGGGCGGTGAAGCCAAGTAAGGAATGTATGAAGGGTTTCCAGTTCCTCAGAAGGGGCTCTCTCTTCCCAGAATGAGGCTATTTCTTTCTAAAGCAGGTGATGTCAGGGAGTTCGCTGGGATTAGAAAAGATAATCACCCATGATACTTTTCTACCTCCCTGGTCACTGCCCAAGACTCAGTGTGACACCTTTGCACAGCTCAGTGGCTGGAGAAGATCCTGAACTAACAAGCCATGTCTAACACATGGACGGGATGACCGATGGCTGTGACCAGGCAGAGGCCTCTGTGGTGGCCCACGTCCCCAGGGATTAGTCCATCCCAAACAGGGCCTGGAGAAATATTTCACTTGCGTGAGATGAAGCTCCAAAGGGACCCTGGAGACGATCTTCACGGTTCCAGACAGGCTGTGGGTTTGGTTGGGTTTTCACAAGTACGGGGGAAATTGGGTCTTCATCCAATTTGCCTCCGGTTCTCACATTAGAAGTCAATGGGATCCAACAGAAGTCTGTCTCATTTTCCCGATCCACAGCCAACACCCAGTTGCCTGGAAAGGCTCCAATCTTTTGCATTCGACAGCTGTGAAAGGGCTCTTTGGATTTGGAAGGGACTTTATTTCTTGATTTCTGATTGTCTTAGCTATAGCCCCTGAGCCCTCAGAGAATCGTCGGAGAAGTGTGCCGGGGTCGGGAGGGCAGACGGAGTTGCTGCTGTATATCCTCCTCCTAGGACAGCTCTGCTCTTTCTGAGACCCACCGACCAAAGTGGAGATTTTAGAATTTGTCACAGGAAAAGTAGTCTGCTTTACTGTCTTTCAAATTGGTTTGTTTAGGATTGTCTCCTTTGGGGTTTACCGTCAGCAGCTCACACACAAGGGGTAATGAATTATGAAAAATGAAAGAGTCAGAGGTCAATAAAGCAAGAACTGAGAAGAGGAACACACAGAGTTGTCAAAACGCCCCAGGCTAACACCCAGAGGGGTTTATTTTTGCTATCAGACACTTCATTTTCAGAAGTGGGAGGTCGGCAGTGCCCCTAAAAGAGTTTGGAGGGCAATTGATCCAGGAAGCAGATGAAAGAGTGAGTTTTCTTTTATGATGGCGCTGGTTTCTGAAATTAAGTGTTGCAGGAAGACCTGGCACTGATTCTAACAGATAGCACCCAGGTTGGAGGCAAAGCACATGTTTTCAAGCTGTGTCATAGCTGTACCCCCTTATCTCCCCGTTGCGCATAATGAGTCTATAAAGGAACCCTGCCACTTGCCTCTGAGCTGGAGCCGCGCCAAGCTGCCTGCGGTGGTTCCACCAGTGTGCTTTGAGCTCCAATTTTCCATGTTCTCCCTCCGTCCCCCTCCATCCTGCCTCACCTATCCCCACTTGGGATGAGGGCCGTCCAGGAGAAGGAGGGGGCTGCAGAAGGGAGATGTGGGGAAGGGAGGATTCGCTTAAGTAAAATCTCCCCTCTGAGCAAAGCTTAAGATTGGTGGTGGTTTGAAATAAGTAGTTTACCATCTATTTTGAGCTTTTTAAAACCTGCTAACAAATGTTTCCCTGGAATCTAGGATGTGAAAACTCTAATTTCTGGGGGAAGAACTAGGACAGCAAGCTTCTTAGATGGAGATGCCAAGTGTGGGTGGGGAGAGCTGAAGGGCACTGGGGGTAGGGATGGCAGCTGTCCTGGAGATCACTCCTGGGGGGCAATGCCTTTGGAGTTTTCCTGATGTCTAACTCTCTGCCCCCATTGTGTTACTTCCTGACACTCTCCCTTCCTCTTCTTTGCTTCCAAGGCTCCAGAATAGCCTCCTTAGGTGAGAGAAGAGAGGAGTGATTTGTAAAGACTGTCCCTAAAAGAAGCATCCTCTTACCAATTTGGGTGCAACTAGGACTTCCTAGTGCTGTTTAGATCTGCTTTATCTAGGAACACGACAGCAGCGTGGACTAGCCAGATTCTGCCAAATACACCACGGAATTGGAATTTTATAATTCCATTCTAGGACTGAAAGAAGAATGATGTAGAATCATACAACAGATGGGGAAACCAAGTCTCATAGATATGAAATGATTGCTCAAGGTTATATCGTCAGTTAGAGTCAGAGTTAGGACTGGAAACAAGTTCTAGCTCCCTGTTTGATGTCTTCCTCGCTGTATCCCACTGAAGGATGGAGAGGTGGATTCTGATTATGTCTTTTATTCAGTTAGCACGCATTCAGTTCCCACTATGTACAAGGCACCATATTTAGGACGTGAGCTCCCTCCTCAGTCTCTGTCACTCAACAAGATCTTCCTAACTCTCCAACCAAAGGGAACTCTTGGTTGAGTAATCCAAAGCACCATTCTTCCACCGCGAGTAAACACAAGTAGAGCTGTTAGTCTGAACCTTTACCTTGGGTTAAACTAATACAGAAAAGATTGCAGGATGTCAGTGATATTCCCTTTATAGACCATGAAAATGGTTTAAGCCAGGGTCGCTATGGCCAAGAGGTTCCATCAGAGGGTCCCCCAATGTCTTTTATAAGGTATGGTCTAGATCCCAAGCTCCCTGCCATATTATATGAATCCAAAGTCACTTGCATACTCCCTACCCAACGCCCCCATCCCCACAATGGACTTCCTGAAACGCTGCAAGAGGGTACAGTAAGTCCCCTACATACGAATGAGTTCCATTCTGAGAGCGTATTCGTAAGTCCAATTTGTTCACAAGTCCAACAAAGAGAGCCTAGGTGCCCAACTAACACAATCGGCTATATAGTACTGTACTGTAATAGGTTTATAACACTTTTCACACAAATAATACGTAACAAACAAACACAAAAAATAAAGAAAACATTTTTAATCTTACAGTACAGTACCTTGAAAAGTACAGTAGTACAGTACAACTGCTGGCATCCAGGGGCTGGCATCGAGTGAACAGGCAAGAAGAGTTACTGACTGGAGGAGGGAGAGGAGGTGGGAGATGGTAGAGCTGACGGATCGTCAGCAATAAGAGACAGAGGGCAAGCTGCAATTTCACTCACACCTGACGTTGATGGCACAGGTTCTGGTTCCTCGCTGGAACCAGATGCATGTTCGCATCTCTGAAAGTTTGCAGCTTGAAGGTTCGTGTGTAGGGGACTTACTGTAGTTGTTCTCAGGGTGGGAGGAGGGGTGGGCACAAGTAGTGCTTCCTGCCCTGCCCTTGGACACCTGGAAAGCCCACAGGTGGGTGGTTGGTGCTGCCACCGAAGGGTGGTGGAGGCTGGAGAGAGTTTGCACACCACCACAGTCCCCTCAGGCAGCAACTACAGCAGTGATTGTGAAGGAGACATGTCCCCGCCTGTAGGGAGACAGGCAAGGACTGTCACCTAAGCCACATGGGTGAAGAGGCCAGCTGCAAAGGCAGCTCAGCACGCAGAGGGAAGACAAGTGTGGAAAACAAGGGGGGACGGAGGGGAAACTGGTTCCCAGACTTTGGGATTTCGTGGGCCAGGAAAATAAAAAAAACATAATGTAAAGGAGATTGGTAAAGGGTTGCCAATTTTTTTTTTTTTTAAGTTGTGAAAGTGGGGAGTTTTAAAAATACCATTTAGGATCACCATCATTTCCTAAAAGAAATTCTAACACACCAAGAAAAAAGAACATCACCTCGGAATCTAAAAGAAATGTCTAAAGTCACTACAAAAATTCCTCGTTTTTTGGAGTTTCAGTGAGGAAGAGCATATATTGCACTATGTACCAGCACATGCCCCCGAATGGTGTTCGGGAACGATCAGTCCAGGTGGATTCCCCATCTCGAGGATGGTTACTCCAGAGAGACTCTCACCTCTGTCCCTTACCAGCTGCCCCGGCCTGAAGGGCTCACGCCGGCAGGAAAATCAAGCTGCAGCCCAGTAGACGCTGAGCTAATTCTTTGACTCTCCAGGCTTGTCACTTACCTCCTGCCTCGGTCTTCTCTAAGTTTCCACTTCTGTCTGCCTGGGGAGGCCCAGAACTGATGCTCTCCCCCTGCCTCCACTTACAGATTAAAACCGAGGACCTCAGTGACTCTCTGCAGCAGACCCTCTCTCATCGGCCATGCCACCTGAGTCAAGGACCTGCCATGATGCCTGGAAACCAAATGTCTGGGGTAAATGGCAGCCCGAGTTGGGAAGCCCCGATGTTCTCAGAGGGCCAGTGAGTTTAAGTCAAGCCGCCTGCAAAACGCTTCACCTCAAGATCTGGCTCTCAGTGAATGCAGATTGGGCTAAAAAAATGCCCTGCAGGGAAACTTGGAGGCCTGCAGTGGGAGGGGGGCTGGGTTACAGAACAATCCTCTGAAAGGTGAAGGCTGGCTAGTTATGGGAAGAAGGAGGTCTCCACCTCTGGGAAAAACAAGGAGTCAATCTTGCCAAAACAGTGGAGCTAAGCCCTACAATGGGGCTGGGGTCTGCCAGCCATATTCAGGGGAGCCCCACGATGACAGCTACTGCTGTGGTTACAGAGCATCTCCGTCCCCAGTAAGCCCATTCTCCTCCCGCAAGGTTTTGTCATACTAGAAGGACTTAAGAGGCATCTGAAATAGTAACGACAAATGTCTGAGAAGGCGGGTGTCCACGCGGCAAGCCCCCCCTTTTTTTTTTTTTTTTTTTTGCGGTACGCGGATGTCTCACTGCTGTGGCCTCTCCCGTTGTGGAGCACAGGCTCCGGACGCGCAGGCTCAGCGGCCATGGCTCACGGGCCCAGTCGCTCCGCGGCGTGTGGGATCCTCTCGGACCGGGGCACGAACCCGCGTCTCCTGCATCGGCAGGCGGACTCTCAACCACTGCGCCACCAGGGGAGCCCCCAAGCCCCTTTCTTGATCTGGATTCCCAGGGGAGGAAAGAGCCGACCCTTCCCTGGAAATATTTAAGACTAGAACGTGCATTTATTCCTTCACTTCTTTATTCAGCAAGGGTTTACCAAGTCTTTCCTTTGCGGAAAGACCTAAGCTCAGTCCTGTGGGGTCACAGAACCCTGGGCGTCTAGGTCACAGAGGACTCCCAGATCCCCCAGGTATTGGGAAGTAGAATTTCCCTTTGGGGGGCTATTGGGAGGGACCCAGGGGAAATGGACTTTCTGTTTAATCAGAGTGGTTTTATTAAGAACGAATAACGTGCCTCTTCCTCCAGGAAAGGTTCAGGACCAGGAAATGGCCAAGACAAAAGCGGCTTTTAGCATATCAAGTGGCGTGAGATTTTTTTTAAAAAAAATTAGAAAATTGGGATTGCCTGTCATCTCTAGGATAAACCTCTGAGAGATGGGTAATACCCACAGTCTGTGCCCTCAGGGCATTACCAGTCTAGCTGGGAGACCTTGTGGGATACACACAAAAGTTATATAACAAGGCAAGGTTTAAGCAAGGCACAGCTTGGCTGAGTGCAGGAGGTGTAGCAGCACCATCATTAATGGGGTAGCTGCTATGTGTCAGACACAGGGATACAGAGGCATTGGGCAAGGTCCCTATGGAGACCCACAGGACAGATGGGCGGCGGGCAGATGGAGCCCAACTTGCAGCTTGTAAATTCTGTGATGCCTGTATCTCCCTGCACAGGACATGGCTTCCCTCCACCCGCTCCAGCAGCTTGTGCTGGTTCCCGGACACCTACAGTCTGTCTCCCAGTTCCTGCTATCTCAGACCCAGCCTGGGCAGCAAGGTGAGAAACCCTGGGGGCTTCTACATAGATGAGTGTGCTAAGGATCTGCTTCTGCCTGCTGGGACCCAAGTGTGGGGCGTGGCTGACTGGCTCACCCTCTAGTATTAAGAGCGGCTTGTCCACCTCAGGGCCCGAGGAAGCGACCTGGTGTGGCCCTCCAGGTTGAGTCTCCTTTTCTGCTTCCCCTTCCCATCGTCCTCAATTTCATGGCCAGTTGAGACCGAAGGCGCAAGGGTGGCAGGAGCTGGGGCAGAACAAGGAAGGAGGAACTCCTTGGGAATCGCAGTCCAGATAAGTCCCGGATCCTTGGAAATCTCCCCCGGTTGTGGACGCAGACTCAGACTTCCACCCTTGGGAAGCTGGAATTCCATTTGGGTAGAGCAGCAGTGCCACCCACAGGCTGTGGAGAGCGTTTTCAGGTTTTCTTTGGCAGGGAAGTTACTCACGGGCAACTTCTTGGCCAAGAACAAACAGGTTAGAATATTCACAATAATAGCTAACATTTCTTGAGCATGATATGCCAGGAGCTCTGCGGAGTGATTTTCCTGACATCTTTCAAAATAACCTCGTGCGGTAGGTAGTCATATTATGTCACCGGTGACCTACTAGAAAGTTGCATAAAAGTCTGTCGGAAACCCATGTTCTCGGCATTGCACTGTACTGCCTCTCTCTCTCCCATCTCTACCAGCTAGGGCTGAAAGCGATGAAATATAAGCTTCCCTCCATTGTACAAATCCCAAGGAGAGGCTTTGGAAATCCAGAACCCAAAGAAAATGTAACTCTGCCTTCTGTCCTTAGCACCTGCCCAAGTTATAGTTATCCTTAGTTACCAAGTCATCTCAGAGTGTTATTATGATGATGAATGAGAACATATGTGAACCTGTGAGTATTTATGTTAGCTAAACAGTACATATGATACTCCTGGAATAGGAAAGGGGAGGTAACAGTTCATTCTGTTTCTTTTTGAAAGGCGGTGTTGTGAAACTGGCTCAGGCATATAACCAATGAGGTCAGTGTATGACACAGGGGGAAAGAAACAGTTTAGTATTTGGAATCAGAAAAACTCATTGGTTAAAAAAAAGTCCCTTGCTAGCTGTGTCTCCTTGAGAAACTTACCTAACCTCTCTGAGGTTCCATTTTCTCCTCCCTAAAACTGGAATCACAGTAAAACTCTGCCTCACAAGGTTATTGAGAGTTATTTGAAATAATGCATATGAGAAGGCTTTGTACATTTCAAAAGGCAACATAAGTGTCAGATTACTATTAGCACTCAAGCTTCCGACTCCCAGTACAGGGCTCCTTGCGAGAGCTTTTTTGCCTATGTATTTTAATAATGAAAAATTAAGCCTTGGTTGTTTTAGACTGAGGAGCAAAACGGTCAGCATCAGTAGATCTACACATCAGTGACCCAGAATAGCTTAGGGACAACAGAGAACCCAAAGTTCTGCTGTGTGCTGAGTGCTTGGGGTGACCTGCCTCATTGTGTGCTTCGATAATTTGATGGCCCCATTCCCACAGCGAGAGTGAGAGTTCCTGGCTGTGGCTCTTCTTTGAGGGAGGCCACTGTCATGACCACCATCCAGGCAGAGCCCTTCATGGACAGTTTTCCTGGAGAAAGCGATCCTCAGGCCGTGCAATGAGCAGGTAGAGCCCATACCACCAGGTAGAGTTGCCCCCCGCTATTCCCTTCTCTCTCAGCCTCTCCTCCCAAGTGTTCAATGTCTGGGTCCTGCCAAGAGCCTCTGGCAATTGGCTGCGGCCCTTTGGAGCTGTATGGCACCATTCCCTTGATCCGGCATCTTTGCAGATCAGGCTAGGCCTTTGTAGCCATCCCAGGTGCTTCTGCAGGCAAAAGGGAAACCCTCACCTCCAGCTTGAATTCTTAGTAGTCATCCCCACATCTCCTTCCCCCTTGGGTTTCTCCAGGCCTGGTTCTCAAATCCCAGAGCAGGTTACCTTGACCCTCCTCAGCCTTTGCACCACTCCAGGCAGGCGGGCAGGCAGAAGGACTGGTTTGGGGACTGCTGTTTACATCTGTGTATCCCTGTGTCTGATTCGTCTCCACCTGTGTGTGGCAATCCTGACAGTGCCCATGGGGGCCTCTCCACAAGGCTGGAGGCGGGGTGGATGGACATGATTAGGTAGCGGGGCGGGGACAGTTATCAGGGTTCCAAAGCTGTAGAGCGTGTCTTTTCAGCTGGCCTGGATTTGATTCGTTTGCTCCTTTGTTCCTCCCCTTTCACCCAGGTCTGCAGTCAAATCTTCTCGCCTTTCCACAGCAGCAAAGCTCTCTCCTCCTCCCACAGACGGGGCCTGGCCTGGCTTCCCAGGTAAACACCCACGTTCTTCCTGTCCCAGCTCCTGACAGAGTTAAGCTTCTAGGCTTCCCCCACCCCCTTGACGGTACACTTACCCCTCTGGGGAAGAGGGAATCGCAAGGGATTATCCCAGTCGGCACAGGGGCGAATTCAAGCCACAGCCAGAGGAAATGAGGGGCCCAGTATCACAGGTGGAGCCAGAATTAGAAGCCAGAGATTTCAGCTCCCTGGCTAGCCTGCTCTGTGTGCAGGCATTCCACTCCCGCCCCAGTCAGGCCCTGGCATCACTCCTCTGAGAACCAGGGATCAGCCAACTTTCCAGGGACGCCAAGGTGACCGCCAGCCCTGCCCAGGTGCTCTCAAGCGCCAAGGGGGAGGCCAGAAGCCCAGAGACCTGATGTCCTGAGAACACCAAGCCAGGGCCTCTCATCTCTGGGCCTCTCTTAAGAACTGCTCTTCTAGACTGCTTCCTGGAGGGGACAAAGCACGGGTCAGGAGGGCGGAGGCCTGCGAGAGGGCCCTTTGCAGAGCTGCCGTGGTGCCACACAGCACCTGTTTTCCAGGGAGAAAAAAGGCACCTCTTCCTCTGGCCAGACGCGGCCTCACGCCAGGGAGTATGGCTTGGCGAGGGCAACAGGAGCTACACTGGACCTGCCACCCCTCCCCTTATCTGGGTGACCCGGTGCAGTTAATGCCTGCACTGCTGCATGAGGCGCCTCTGCAGAGATGGACGTGTGGGACAGTTGGGAATGACTGCAGAGACCCTAATGTCCCTTCTCAGAGCTAAGATCCCCATGGATCACTCAGGGCCCTGGCTTTACAGGGCTAGAGTCCAGTGGAGGCCCCTGGAAGGGGGTGGGTGCCCCCTAGTGGCTAATAGAAGTGGGGACACCAAGAGTCCTGAGCTCTTGGACCTTCTCCTGACTTGCTCTCCGAATCGCATCATCACAGACTTAGATCTGGAAGAGATCTGAGAGAGGGTTCAAGATCACCTCTCGTGTCTTATAACACGAGAGCCGGGTGAGACCAGAAGCAGAGAGACTGTTTGGAAGGTTATTAAGATCATCCTGGAGCAGCAGTAAAGGGACTGGCTTTGGGTGGTGGCAATAAGGGTAGAGAGGAGGGGCTGACAGGGGACGTTGGGGAATTTGACTCCGTGCAATTCAGCCGCTGATCGGATGTGAAGGGAGTAGGGGGAAGGTCCAGCAGAGAGCTCAAGACTTGTTTGTGGGACGAAAGAACAAATGAGTTCATGAAAAGGAAGTCTGAGAGAGGACCGAGGCCTTGTCCTGAGGGTCTGGTCCACGCCACCTTCTCTCCCGCAGAACAGGATCAAAGCCTAATGGTTTCAAATCATTCTGTTCTGAAAGACCCTCCCTCGGGAGAAGAGAGTCCTTAACTTCTCTCTGGTCATCACAAGGCTGCCTGTCTGAATGGGAAGCCTGAATATCTTGGAAGAAAGGAGTAAAGTTAACCCCAGTCTCGGAAAAGAGTAAACTGGAAAGGAGATAGAAGAGGGCGGACTTAGGCCATGCCATCCACATCGGTAGCAGCCCCTGCCCCGGACACAAGCCCGTTAGGACCCCAAGCCTGATGGGTTTCTGCTTCTTCTCTGTGGACGGCATGGATTTATTCCTGACCCCAAATGGGCACAACATGGATTCTAGGTATAAGGTCCTGTTCTCCTATGAAAGTAAACTAAAGAAAGAATATCTCCTGACAACCACAAATGAGATCAAGGTGCGCTTAGACAGCACTGGAATACCTTTGATTAAAAAAAACAAAAAAACAAAATACTCTCCGGAAAGAAGATGATTGTTTAGAAAGTAAAATGGCAGTCACAAGAGTTTGGAATTTTTTTTTTTTTTTTAACATCTTTATTGGGGTATAACTGCGTTACAATGGTGTGTTAGTTTCTGCTTTATAACAGAGTGAGTCAGTTATACATATATATATGTTCCCATATCTCTTCCCTCTTTGTCTCCCTCCCTCCCACCCTCCCTATCCCACCCCTCCAGACAGCCACAAAGAACCGAGCCGGTTTCCCTGTGCCATGCGGCTGCTTCCCACTGGCTATCTACCTTACGTCTGTTAGTATATATATGTCCATGTCTCTCTCTCGCCCTAACACACCTCACCCTTCCCCCTCCCCATATCCTCAAGTCTGTTCTCCAGTAGGTCTCTGTCTTTATTTCTGTTTTACCCCTAGGTTCTTCATAACATTTTTTTTTTCTTAAATTCCATATATATGTGTTAGCATACGGTATTTGTCCTTCTCTTTCTGACTTACTTCACTCTGTATGACAGACTCTAGGTCTATCCACCTCATTACAAATAGCTCAATTTCGTTTCTTTTTATGGCTGAGTAATAGTCCATTGTATATATGTGCCACATCTTCTTTATCCATTCATCCGACGACGGGCACTTAGGTTGTTCCCATCTCCGGGCTATTGTAAATAGAGCTGCAATGAACATTTTGGTACATGACTCTTTCTGAATTCTGGTTTCCTCAGGGTATATACCTAGTAGTGGGATTGCTGGGTCATGTGGTAGTTCTATCTGTAGTTTTTTAAGGAACCTCCATACTGCTCTCCACAGTGGCTGAACCAATTCACATTCCCACCAGCAGTGCAAGAGTGTTCCCTTTTCTCCACACCCTCTCCAGCATTTATTGTTTCTAGATTTTTTGATGATGGCCATTCTGACTGGTGTGAGATGATATCTCATTGTAGTTTTGATTTGCATTTCTCTAATGATTAATGATGTTGAGCATTCTTTCATGTGTTTGTTGGCAGTCTGTATATCTTCTTTGGAGAAATGTCTATTTAGGTCTTCTGCCCATTTTTGGATTGGGTTGTTTATTTTTTTGTTATTGAGCTGCATGAGCTGCCTGTAAATTTTAGAGATTAATCCTTTGTCAGTTGATTCATTTGCAAATATTTTCTCCCATTCTGAGGGCTGTCTTTTGGTCTTGTTTATGGTTTCCTTTGCTGTGCAAAAGCTTTGAAGTTTCATTAGGTCCCATTTGTTTATTTTTGTTTTTATCTCCATTACTCTAGGAGATGGGTCAAGAAGGATCTTGCTGTGATTTATGTCATAGAGTGTTCTGCCTATGTTTTCCTCTAAGAGTTTGATAGTTTCTGGCCTTACATTTAGGTCTTTAATCCATTTTGAGCTTATTTTTGTGTATGGTGTTAGGGAGTGATCTAATCTCATACTTTTACATGTACCTATCCAATTTTCCCAGCACCACTTATTGAAGAGGCTGTCCTTTCTCCACTGTATATTCCTGCCACCTTTATCAAAGATAAGGTGACCATATGTGCATGGGTTTATCTCTGGGCTTTCTATCCTATTCCATTGATCTATCTTTCTGTTTTTGTGCCAGTACCATACTGTCTTGATTACTGTAGCTTTGTAGTATAGTCTGAAGTCAGGCAGCCTGATTCCTCCAGCTCCATTTTTTGTTCTCAAGATTGCTTTGGCTATTCGGGGTCTTTTGTGTTTCCATACAAATTGTGAAATTTTTTGTTCTAGTTCTGTGAAAAATGCCAGTGGTAGTTTGATAGGGATTGCATTGAATCTATAGATTGCTTTGGGAAGTAGAGTCATTTTCACAATGTTGATTCTTCCAATCCAAGAACATGGTATATCTCTCCATCTGTTTGTATCATCTTTAATTTCTTTCATCAGTGTCTTATAATTTTCTGCATACAGGTCTTTTGTCTCCTTAGGTAGGTTTATTCCTAGATATTTTATTCTTTTTGTTGCAATGGTAAATGGGAGTGTTTTCTTGATTTCACTTTCAGATTTTTCATCATTAGTATATAGGAATGCCAGAGATTTCTGTGCATTAATTTTGTATCCTGCTACTTTACCAAATTCATTGATTAGCTCTAGTAGTTTTCTGGTAGCATCTTTAGGATTCTCTATGTAGAGTATCATGTCATCTGCAAACAGTGACAGCTTTACTTCTTCTTTTCCGATTTGGATTCCTTTTATTTCCTTTTCTTCTCTGATTGCTGTGGCTAAAACTTCCAAAACTATGTTGAATAAGAGTGGTGAGAGTGGGCAACCTTGTCTTGTTCCTGACCTTAGTGGAAATGCTTTCAGTTTTTCGCCATTGAGGATGATGTTGGCTGTGGGCTTGTCATATACGGCCTTTATTATATTGAGGAAAGTTCCCTCTACACCTACTTTCTGCAGGGTTTTTATCATAAATGGGTGTTGAATTTTGTCAAAAGCTTTCTCTGCATCTATTGAGATGATCATATGGTTTTTCTCCTTCAATTTGTTAATATGGTTAATCACATTGATAGATTTGCGTATATTGAAGAATCCTTGCATTCCTGGAATAAACCCCACTTGATCATGGTGTATGATCCTTTTAATGTGCTGTTGGATTCTGTTTGCTAGTATTTTGTTGAGGATTTTTGCATCTATGTTCATCAGTGATATTGGCCTGTAGTTTTCTTTCTTTGTGACATCCTTGTCTGGTTTTGGTATCAAGGTGATGGTGGCCTCGTAGAATGAGTTTGGGAGTGTTCCTCCCTCTGCTATATTTTGGAAGAGTTTGAGAAGAATAGGTGTTAGCTCTTCTCTAAATGTTTGATAGAATTCGCCTGTGAAGCCATCTGGTCCTGGGCTTTTGTTTGTTGGAAGATTTTTAATCACAGTTTCAATTTCAGTGTTTGTGATTGGTCTGTTCATATTTTCTATTTCTTCCTGATTCAGTCTTGGCAGTTTGTGCATTTCTAAGAATTTGTCCATTTCTTCCAGATTGTCCATTTTATTGGCATAGAGTTGCTTGTAGTAATCCCTCATGATTTTTTGTATTTCTGCAGTGTCAGTTGTTACTTCTCCTTTTTCATTTCTGATTCTATTGATTTGAGTCTTCTCCCTTATTTTCTTGATGAGTCTGGCTAATGGTTTATCAATTTTGTTAATCTTCTCAAAGAACCAGCTTTTAGTTTTATTGATCTTTGCTATTGTTTCCTTCATTTCTTTTTCATTTATTTCTGATCTGATTTTTATGATTTCTTTCCTTCTGCTAACTCTGGGGTTTTTTTGTTCTTCTTTCTCTAATTGCTTGAGGTGCAAGGTTAGGTTGTTTATTCGAGATGTTTCCTGCTTCTTAAGGTGGGCTTGTATTGCTATAAACTTCCCTCTTAGAACTGCTTTTGCTGCATCCCATAGGTTTTGGGTCGTTGTATCTCCATTGTCATTTGTTTCTAGGTATTTTTTAATTTCCTCTTTGATTTCTTCAGTGATCACTTCGTTACTAAGTAGTGTATTGTTTAGCCTCCATGTGTTTGTATTTTTTACTGCTCTTTTCCTATAATTGATATCTAATCTCATGGCGTTGTGGTCGGAAAAGATACTTGATATAATTTCAATTTTCTTAAATTTACCAAGGCTTGATTTGTGACCCAAGATATGATCTATCCTGGAGAATGTTCCATGAGCACTTGAGAAAAATGTGTATTCTGTTGTTTTTGGATGGAGTGTCCTATAAATATCAATTAAGTCCATCCTGTTTAATGTATCATTTAAAGCTTGTGTTTCCTTATTTATTTTCATTTTGGATGATCTGTCCATTGGTGAAAGTGGGGTGTTGAAGTCCCCTACTATGAATGTGTTACTGTCGATTTCCCCTTTTATGGCTGCTAGTTTTTGCCTTATGTATTGAGGTGCTCCTATGTTGGGTGCATAAATATTTACAATTGTTATATCTTCTTCTTGGATCGATCCCTTAATCATTATGTAGTGTCCTTCTTTGTCTCTTCTGATAGTCCTTATTTTAAAGTCTATTTTGTCTGATATGAGAATTGCTACTCCAGCTTTCTTTTGGTTTCCATTTGCATGGAATATCTTTTTCCATCCCCTTACTTTCAGTCTGTATGTGTCTCTAGGTCTGAAGTGGGTCTCTTGTAGACAGCATATATATGGGTCTTGTTTTTGTATCCATTCAGCCAATCTGTGTCTTTTGGTGGGAGCATTTAGTCCATTTACATTTAAGGTAATTATCGATATGTATGTTCCTATTCCCATTTTCTAAATTGTTTTGGGTTCGTTATTATAGGACTTTTCCTTCTCTTGTGTTTTTGTCTAGAGAAGTTCCTTTAGCATTTGTTGTAAAGCTGGTTTGGTGGTGCTGAACTCTCTCAGCTTTTGCTTGTCTGTAAAGGTTTTAATTTCTCCATCAAATCTGAATGAGATCCTTGCTGGGTAGAGTAATCTTGGTTGCAGGTTTTTCTCCTTCATCACTTTCAGTATGTCCTGCCACTCCCTTCTGGCTTGTAGAGTTTCTGCTGAGAGATCAGCTGTTAACCTTATGGGGATTCCCTTGTGTGTTATTTGTTGTTTTTCCCTTGCTGCTTTTAATATGCTTTCTTTGTATTTAGTTTTTGACAGTTTGATTAATATGTGTCTTGGCGTATTTCTCCTTGAATTTATCCTGTATGGGACTCTCTGTGCTTCCTGGACTTGATTAACGATTTCCTTTCCCATATTAGGGAAGTTTTCAACTATAATCTCTTCAAATATTTTCTCAGTCCCTTTCTTTTTCTCTTCTTCTTCTGGAACCCCTATAATTCGAATGTTGGTGCGTTTAATGTTGTCCCAGAGGTCTCTGAGACTGTCCTCAGTTCTTTTCATTCTTTTTTCTTTATTCTGCTCTGCAGTAGTTATTTCCACTATTTTATCTTCCAGGTCACTTATCCGTTCTTCTGCCTCATTTATTCTGCTATTGATCCCATCTAGAGTATTTTTCATTTCATTTATTGTGTTGTTCATCATTGTCTGTTTCATCTTTATTTCTTCTAGGTCCTTGTTAACTGCTTCTTGCATTTTGTCCATTCTATTTCCAAGATTTTGGATCATCTTTACTATCATTATTCTGAACTCTTTTTCAGGTAGACTGCCTATTTCCTCTTCATTTGTTAGGTCTGGTGGGTTTTTATCCTGCTCCTTCATCTGCTGTGTGTTTTTCTGTCTTCTCATTTTGCTTATCTTACTGTGATTGGGTTCACCTTTTTGCAGGCTGCAAGTTCGTAGCTCCCGTTGTTTTTGATGTCTGTCTCCAGTGGCTAAGGTTGGTTCAGTGCGTTGTGTAGGCTTCCTGGTGGAGGGGACTAGTGGCTGTGTTGTGGTGTATGAGGCTAGATCTTGTCTCTCTAGTGGGCAGGTCCACGTCTGGTGGTGTGTTTTGGGGTGTCTGTGGACTTATTATGATTTTAGGCAGCCTCTCTGCTAGTGGGTGGGGTTGTGTTCCTGTTTTGCTATATGGTTGGCATAGGTTGTCCAGCACTGTAGCTTGCTGGTCGTTGAGCGAAGCTGGGTGCTGGTGTTGAGATGGAGATCTCTGGGAGATTTTCGCCGTTTGATATTATGTGGGGCTGGGAGGTCTCTTCTTGACGAGTGTTCTGAAGTTGGCTCTCCCACCTCAGAGGCAGAGTCCTGACTCCTGGCTGGAGCAGCAAGAGCCTTTCATCCACTCGGCTCAGAATAAAAGGGAGAGAAAGTAGAGAGAATTAGTATAAGTAGGAGGAAATAGGAAAGAAAGAAAGAAAGAAAGAAAGAGAGGAGGGAAGGAAGGAAGGAGGGAAGGAAGAAAGAAAGAAAGAAGAAAAGAAAGGAAGAAGGCAAGAAGGAAAGAAAGGAGGGAGGGAGGGAGGAGGGAAGGAAGGAAGGAATGAGGGAAGGAAGGAAAAAATACAGAAAGAAAGAAGATACAGTAAAATAAAATAAAGTATAATAAAGTTATTGAATTAAAAAAATAATTATTTAGAGGAAAAAAAAAAGGGAAGGATAGAACCTTAGGACAAATGGTGGAAGCAAAGTTATAGAGACAAAATCTTACATAGAAGCATACACATATACCCTCACAAAAAGAGGTAAAGTGGAAAAAATCATAAAACTTGCTCTCCAAGTCCACCTCCTCAATTTGGGACGATTCGTTGTCTCAAAAAGGGAAGGAAGGAAGGAAAGATAGAAAGAAGGTAAAGTATAACAGAGTTCTTTAAATTAAAATTAATTATTAAGAAAAAAATTAAAAAAAAAAATGGTCGGATAGAACGCTGGGACAAATGGTGGAAGCAAACCTATACAGACAAGATCTCACACAGAAGCATACACATACACATTCACAAAAAGAGGAAAAGGGGAAAAAATCATAGATCTTGCTCTAGAAGTCCGCCTCCTCAATTTGGGATGATTCGCTGTCTATTCATGTATTCCACAGAGGCAGGGTACATCAAATTGATTGTGTAGCTTTAATCCGCTGTTTCTGAGGCTGCTGGGAGAGATTTCCCTTTTTCTTCTTTGTTCTCACAGCTCACAGGGGCTCAGCTTTCGACTTGGCCCTGCCTCTGCGTGTAGGTCGCTGGAGGGCGTCTGCTTTTTGCTCAGACAGGACGGCGTTAAAGGAGCCGCTGACTCGGGGGCTCTGGCGCTCTCAGGCCGGGGGCAGGGAGGGGCACGGAGTGCGGAGCGGTCCTGCGGCGGCAGAAGTCGGCGTGACGTTGCCCCAGCCTGAGGCCCGCCGTGTGTTCTCCCTGAGAAATTGTCCCTGGATCCCGGGAACCTGGCAGTGGCGGGCTGCACAGGCTCCCCGGAAGAGGGGTGGGGGGCTCGCGCCCGTCTCTGGGGTCCGAGCTTTCAGCCGCGGCTCGCGCCCGTTTCTGGAGTTCCTTTAGGCAGCGCTCTTAAAACCCCCAAGAGTTTGGAATTTTATGGAAATTCCATTAATGCAGTGAATTTCAGATGCCCTCCGTTATCTTCAGTCAATGCCTGTTGAACGCCTCAGTTACTTTGCTTTGTGTAAAAGAACAGGCAAGGCAAACAACCTTTTCCTTGTCCCGTTCTGAGATCTGTTTCGGGGATCTTTGTAAACGAGTCTGCGAGCTCCTTTTATGGGATAAAACTGAAAGGAGGAAGTTACCTGCTCAGACTCAAATAGTGAGTCATAGACTAAAACCCGGAAAGGCCACCTCCCTGTCCCGCACTCCTACCCCAGGAGTTTCTACCCCCGCTACTGCAGCTATTTGCCAGTCCCTTCATGGAGACTCCAATTTCCACTTCCACACCGTCGAAATAATAGGAATCCAATCTGTCATCCTCTAAGCGGGCCTATTAGTACAAAATATCAGGAAATGCGTTTGATCTGTTGACCGTTTGTGCGTTGGCTTGGTGTGTGTCTGCTCTTAGGCAGTTGGGTGCCCTGGGGTGCCAGGATCCTCTTTAGAACCGCATCTGGAAGCATCCCAGCATCTCCCAGTCCCCAAGCATCTCCCCAGCTCTGGAGGAGCTGATGAGCCCAGTGACCTGGAGGAGCTGGAGAAGTTTGCCAAGACCTTCAAGCAGAGGCGCATTAAGCTGGGCTTCACACAGGTTCGGTTTGGGGCAAAGGAGGTGGAAGAACTTGGGTTGAGTGAGTAGAGACTGGGGTTCCCGAGTGGAGGTTTTAAGAGCTCATTGTGTTTGGGGCAAACCCATCGTGTTCCTGTGTCCCCTGAGAATGGTGCACAGTTGCCGTTGGTAGGGAAAATGGGAACACCGCTGGTGGAGGGGGGAGCAATGAGAGCCAGGCAAGGAGCTAGGCACGAGGGCACAGCACACTCAGAGTCTAGGGAGAGAAATAACCAAGTCTCCATCTTAGAGGGAAGAAACTGGAAGGGAGCCAGGGTGAGCAAAGGTTCGCTGGGTGTGGATAGGCGCTAGGATGGTGAGGGATGTGGACAAAGGAGAGAAGGGGCCTACCTCTCAAAGTTCTTCCCTCTCCATCCCTGCGTGCAGGGAGACGTGGGTCTGGCGATGGGAAAGCTGTACGGCAACGACTTCAGCCAGACTACCATCTCCAGATTTGAGGCTCTAAATCTGAGCTTCAAGAACATGTGCAAGCTCAAGCCGCTGCTGGAGAAGTGGCTGAATGATGCAGGTAGGCCTCAGGGACACGAGGATGGATGGAGCCTTAGAAGGTCTGCAGGGAAGGGGATGGTGACTGGTCCGTGTTGGGGCTTTCTTTCTTTTTTTTTTAACAACATTTTAAAATTATTATTTATTTATTTTTGGCTGCGCCAGGTCTTATTTGCAGCGTGCGGGATATATTTTTTTAGTTGCAATGTGGACTCTTAGTTGCGGCACGCGAGCTTCTTACTTGCAGCACGCGGACTGTTAGTTGCGGCATGCATGTGGAATCTAGTTCCCCGACCAGGGATGGAACCCGGGCCCCGTGCACTGGGAGCATGGAGTCTTACCCACTGGACCACCGGGGAAGTCCTCTGTGTTGGGGCTTTTGGCAGTCAATACATAGTACCCTTTCCTCTCCTCCTGAGTCTGGAACCAGCTGAGAAATCAGACACAGGAGACAGCCAAGTAGAGATGAAAATGTCAGCTTCACTACTGATAAAGCGCATGGAAGACATAGCTTTAGGTCTGTGGCCACGAAGACTTGCTCCGTTTTATTCCCTACCCCAGACACACCCAGCCTAGACCGTAGGACAGCTCGCCAGAGACAAAGGTCGGGTCTGCGGAGCAAACACACTTACCCAGACTGCTGTCTGGACTAGGTCTAGGTCAGGGGGATAGGGAAGCAGGTTCTCTAGGGTCTCATGGCTGGGAGGAGGAGGCAGTATGCACAACGCAAGATCTTCACCTGGCTAATTCTTGAGCAGGTTTTCAGAGGGCAGGGAGTTACTCCAAGCTACACTGGTTGGGAAAACCTTACAGCAGGAGTGGGGCTTGCAGGAGGATTCAGTCAGGCGTGGGGGGCCAGGAGGTCCCGGTTGTAAGCCAAGGGCAAAACGTTTGCAATAATGAATGGAAGAGTTTGGTGTCATGGCATAGCATGGGACAGGGTTTCTCAACCAAGGCATTAGCAACAGCTTGGGCCAGATATTGATCTGTGGCGGAGGCGGTCCTACGAATTGTAGGCTATTTAGCAGCATCCCTGGTCTCTAGCCACTAGATGCCAAGAGCACCTGGCCCCTGTTGACAGGTGTAAAAACGTCTCCAGATACTGCCGAATGTCCCCTGGGGGAGTGAGGGTGGTACAGAATCTCGCCCCAGGTTGAGAACCACTGGTCTAGGAGCAGAGCCAGTGTCAGAGCTGGGCTCTCGTCTGTAGATAGTGTGGGTCAGTGGTTACTATGGAGAGAGAGGAAAGCGGGGGATGGGCAGCCAAGGGTGTGACCCTTTTGGAAGTTGTTCCACGTGGAAACAAGGGAGGGGGTGAGGGAGCTTCCCAGCCCACCCCACCCCACCCCAACCCGTGGAAGGCTCATCCTTCGGCGGTTTTACTGGAGCGCCGAAGTGAAAGAGGTGATCAGAAGGTCTTAGGATCTTCGGGAAGGGATCTTGCGGATCATTTCTTGTGCGATTACCTGGCTGCGCCTGAATCCTTCCTAAGGGACATCCCCGCCGACCCCTCAGACAGCCTCAACCCCAACACTGACACTGAAAAGGAAGTGGCTTCCACACCAACATTCCGCCACCAAGTGCCACTGCCTTTAGCTCAAAACACCAGTCCTCGTTTTCCTCGGGATTCACATCCAGGCCTACTTACAAAAGACAGGCTCATGGGCGTCACTCGTAGGAGCTCTGCCTGCCCCCACGCACACCCACATGTGCCGCTGATGTCTGGATGTCCCTGAACCATGACCGCAAACGCTGGAGGCACGGCAGTGAGAGGCATGGAGGACCTTTTGCCCAGAGCAACGAGGGGAAGCAGGATTCTTGGTCTGTCTGGTTCCCCTGTGTCGGGGAGGGGGCTGCAGAACCTGCCGGGAAGGGTCATTGGACCCCAAGTCCATTGAGCCAGAGCCTGAACCAGCTGCTTTCCCTTCCCTGAGCCTCCTCTGCTCTCCCCTCCCCACAGAATCCTCTGCATCAGACCCCTCCGTGAGCACCCCCAGCTCTTACCCCACCCTCAGTGAAGTGTTCGGGAGGAAGAGGAGGAAGCGGACCAGCATCGAGACCAGCGTCCGCCTGACTCTGGAGAAGAGATTTCAAGATGTGAGCGGGCCCTTTGGGTGGCGACGGGCGGGCCGACTGGCACAGGGGTTGAGCAGACGCACACAAGCCCCCCGGCGCCACCCCTGAGCCCCCATACACCTGCCTTGGGAAAGGGTCGGGACACAGAGACACGCTCTCTCTCCAGGTGCCCCGGTGTTTGAACGAGAGGCTGGGTTCCAGAAACTTCCTCCCCCACTGACCCTTCTCGCCCTGACCTCTGTTTGGTGCCCACTGTCCCTCGAGCCGGGAGATTTAAAGACTGGGGTATAGAATCCCAGAGGAGAGTGTATCTCTGTATCCAGTTGAGATAAAGGGAGCAAAGCCAGGGCATTGTGTATAAATTCTTTATTTTCTTTGCATTGTTTTGTATTTTTCAAATTATATATATAATAAATGCTCATTGTAAACAATTTGGAAAATGCAGGGAGGCAGGAAAAAAATCCGCCACCACATGCCATCTAAATGCACGTCCTTCTATTCCTCTCTTCTACATACATTGAAATATTTGTAGTCATATTACATACAGACAGCTTTTTGAACTTGCAGCAAAAGTATATTCTTGAGCCAATATGTGCACTAATAATACCAGTTATGTGCCCCGGGGGAGCTGGGGAAGAGAAGAGGGGTAAACAGGTGTGGTCTAAACAGCCCCTGCCCAGGATCCCTTAGGGACCAGCCTCCAGAGCTGCCATCCACACCACACGGTCCCTAAAGGGCTCGCCGGTGGCCTAGTTCCACCTTGCAGGCCCCAGGCCTCCAGGACTCCTGTGTCTCCAGCAGACTCTCCAGCACATATGACTCAGGACTTGATGGCTGCATCCTGCTGGCAGGATGACAAGACCTGGCTTTTCCTTCTGATTAAGTTTCTGAGAGCAGCAAGAGTAAGGGAGGGTGCAGAAGGGAGAGAAGGGAGCTAAGATCAAAGATTGGGTGGGGGTGGGAGGGGTCAGAACAAAGGAGTGATGGATATGTACTGGAATGTGTGTGTGTGTGTGTGTGTTTGTGTGTGTGTGTGTGTGTGTATACACACACACACACATGTCTCCTTTATAGTCTTGATGGGCCCTCATGTTTTAACTTTATCATTTCCTATTTTGAGGTAGGCAGCAAGAAATGACGCAAGAGAAGGGTATCAGATTCTGAGGAAAGAACAGAAGGGAGCGTGTGTTCTGGGGATTCTGCCCGCCCTACCTAACTCATCAGTGGGCTCCTCTTTTCAGAACTTCTGAAGAATGAGCGAGAGAAGAGCCTCCACCCTGTGCCAGGCCCTGTGCTTGGCAGTTTATACACATTTTCTCATTTAATCTTCATAATCATCCTATACGGTAGGCATTATTTCTCTCATTTCATAGATGATAAGACTGAGGCTCAGAGAGGTTCAGAAAGTTTCCTAAGGCCACAGAGTAAGTGCTCAAGCCACTATTCCATCGTAGGTCTGATTCTAAAGCTTTTGCTCCATCTGTTGTTCTATCCTGCTTCTCCGGAACATCTGTTCCCCACGCACAATTCTTGATCCTATTCCCTTCTCCTCCTGACTACTCTATCCCTTTGGTTTCTGTAGAACCCCAAACCCAGCTCAGAGGAGATCTCCATGATTGCAGAGCAGTTGTCCATGGAGAAGGAGGTGGTGAGGGTCTGGTTCTGCAACCGCCGCCAAAAGGAGAAGCGAATCAACTGCCCTGTGGCCACACCCATCAAATCACCCATGTACAGTTCCCGGCTGGTGAGTGGCCAGGAGCCAAGCTGCCTGCCAAGCCCTGGGGGAGATGAAGCCCGGAGGGCAAAGAGTCCTCCCCGTCCTAAAGAAGATGGGGGCTGGGGAGCAAGGAGTGAATATATAAACAAAGAGATGCTGTATACAAAATATATATAATATAAAGAAGAATAAAGAAGGATAAGGAGATAGAAAGTGATTACGGGGAGATGCTTTTATAGTAGAGGGGTAAGAAAAGACCTCTCTGATAGGGTGACATTTGAGCAGGGATCTAAGTATTGAAAGGGAACGAAATATCTGAGGGATAGAGTGTTCCAGGTAGAGAGACCAGAAAATGAGAAGACCTGACATGTTTGAGGAAAAGCAAGGAAGCCAGTGTCGCCAGGGCAGGGTGAGGAAGGAGGTGCGCAGCGGGAGGTGAAGTCCGAGAAGTAACGGGGAAGTAACAGGAAGCCACTCGCCGCGGTCTCGGAGGCCATCGAAAGGACCTTAGCTTTTAGTCTGAGTGAAAGAAGAAGCCACTGGAGAACTGACATGGGCTGCTATGTGGAGATTAATTTGTGTAGAGGCAGGATACCAGCCTGGGAATTACAGCAATCAGGCTGAGAGTGGTGGAGGCTTGGGCTAGGGTGGAGATCATGGTGGTGAGGAGACGTGGCTGGATTCTGAACGTATTTCAACCATGAGCCAACAAGATGTGCTGTTAGCTCAGATATGGAGTGTGAGAAATAAGGCCAGGATGAGCAGCTGGTTGGAAGGTGCTGCCATTTTTGGAGATGATGAAGACTGCAGGAGGAACAGGTTTGAGGGGGAAAAAAGGCTAAGTATTCAGAGCTGGTCGTATTAAGTTAGACTTACCTCCTAGGCATCCAAGAGGAAGGGTCACGCAGACAGTTATATCTGTGATTCTGGGGTTCGAGGGGAGAAGTCAGGGCTGGCAATAAGTTGAAGTTCAGGCAGAATGGGAAGTTTGGAGGATACGAAATGTCTTCTCCATCTAGGAGAGAGATGGTGCCTGGAGGGTGGGGGAGGGGGAAGGTTCTTCTTTAGCCCTAGGGATGGTGATGGTTGAAGGTTAAGGGAATTGGGGAGAATGGTGTTGTCCTCTGTCTTTTCGTACTCAAGGATGGGTGAAATTCAGCCTCGTTCTGGGTGGGACATAGCTACTTTGTAAAACTATACTACTGTTTATTCTTTCACCAAACATTTGTCGACCATCTACTATGTTTTGGTCCTTGTGCTGAGTGCTGGGGATGCACAAATAAGTAATATTCGTTCCCTGTCCCAGAGGACCTCACTGCCTAGCAGAGGAGACAGACAAATAAACAAATGATAAACAACACGATGGTTTCTCTTGGAGAACTTAGGGGTAGCAGCTAACAAAGCCTTGGGAGGTGGTGGTTAGGGAAGGCTTCCCCAAGGAGATAATTAATACCTGAGCTGAGTCTAAAAAGACAAGAAGGAGTGAAGAGGCAAATAGGTGAGGGGTGGAATTCCCCCAGGGGGATAGTATGAGAGCAGAGGTATGGAGGAGGGAGGACAGGGCACATGCACGGAATCGCCGGTGGTTCCACGTGGAGGAACGTTGAAAGATGAGGCTGGATAGATCAGCAAGGGCCAGACACAAGGGACTATGAGCGAGGCTAAGGAACCTGAAGCCCTGGGGAGTTGCTGAAGGATCTGAAGTAGGGCATTAGTGTGATCTGATTGCTTTTTAGAGCGACCACTTTGACTGTAGTTATAAAGGGTGGTTTGAGAGGCATCACGTTTGGTTTCAGAGAGACCAGTTAGATGTGACTGAAGTTATCCAGCAGAGACTTTATAAGGGCTGAAGCAAACCCATTTGGTAAGAATGAAGGGGATGGGAGAGATTCAGGAGATAATTAGAAGGTAGAATTACTAGGTCTTGGTTACTAAATTGCAAACTGGGTGGGGCCGGGAGAGCGATAAAGGAAAGAGAATCCTCTGATGACTCTCAGCATTCAGGCTGGGCTGATTGGGTAGAAGCTGGTGCCTGTTGATGGAACAATTAAACACAGGGGGAGGAGCTGGCTTAGGAGCAGGAAAAAATGATGATTTCAATTCTTTACCTCATTATGATATACAGAGAGGCCTGTGGGACACCCAAGTGGGAATGCCCCTGGGCACTTGGAATAATGGGTCTGGGGGTCAGGAGGAAAGCCTAAGGTAGAGAAATGGGCTGGGAGTCATATAAGCACACAGGTGGTAGTTGGAATCCTGGGCAAGGAGGAGCTCACCTGTGGAGTTTGTACAGAGGAAGCAAAGAGGAAAGTTGAGGTCTCAACCCTGGGGAACACTGGCTTTTGAGGGATGGGCAAAGGGAGAGCACCAAGGAGAGAAACTGAGAAGGAGGAACCAGAAAATGCAAAAAAATTGCAACGAAGTAGATGGAGGGGTGACGCAGATGTGAAGAGCCCTGCAAAAGTGCTTTGGGAACACAGATAAAAGACCCCCAAATCAGAATGGGGTGTGGGAGGGCTAACCCCCTGATTTGTTTGGAGAACAGATTGGGAGTTAGCAGAAAGAACAGCATAGCTGGCAGAAGGAACAGTGTTCGAGAGGCATGGAATTATAAAACAACATGATGCATTTGGGGAATCACAAGCCTTTTGGTCTGGCTGGAGCTAAGGGTTTAGGACTAAGACAGAGAGGTTGATGAGAGCTAGATCATGGTGGGTCGTGGATGCTAACTTACTCTCAAAGATATGAAGAACCGTTGACAGTTTTAGGTTGGGGACAATGTGATATTCATTCACCATTCCTGTCTTAAATACTTACTGAGCACCCACCATCTGTTTGGCACTGGGATATGGTGGTGCACAGGATACTTACTGGCGATCTCTGCCTAGAGTCTAGCAAGGAAAACAGACATTAAACAAATGCAATTTGGGATGAAGCCTCCAGAGAAGATGTGCGGGTATCTGAGGGACCTAACCTAGTCCAGATGTCAGGGGCTTCTCGAGGAATGATGCTCAAATTGACAGCAGAAGAAAGCGTAGACTTGAATGGGGGAAAAGGTCTGAGTTGCGGTGGGAGACAGGACGGAAGGGTGGAGATAGTGTCGGGAAGAACATTCTATGCAGAGGAAACAGTGTGTACAAAGGTTCTGAGGCTGGGGTGGGTGGGGAGAGGAAGCAAAGAAGGTTGGAATGGAACCCGAGGAGTGAGAGAGAGTGTGTGAAAGAGGAAGCTGGAGTGGTAGGCGGGGGCTAAATCATGTAGGGCGTTGTAGACCATGTTAAGGAACCTGAACCATGTCATAAGAGAGTCAGAATCTTTAAAGATGGGGCTTTGTTTAGAATAGATGGGAGGCAGTTATCGCTTTGGTTCAATCCCAGCCCAGGACACCAACGTGGAGGAAAGTGGTGGGAGGCATGGAGGTGCCGTAAAGGAGTGTCATGGGTTCTCATCGTGCATTCAACACATATTTACTTAACACCCGCAAAGTTCCAGGCACTGCAGTAGACACTGAGGACACAGCAGGGGACCACGCAGGCATCATCCTTCCCTCATGAATTCCCCAGCCTAGTGGGGGAGAAAGATGTTAAAAAAAATAATCACATTAATACTTGTGGCATCCTGAAGGAAGAGACTAGAGAAAATGTTCTAATCCTGTCTTCTCCTCAGGTCTCATTGGGACACTGTCCGTGGGACTAGGACACAGTTCCTTCCGCTTCTGATGTGAAATGATCTCTAAGATACACAGTTAAGGGGGGGGGGGGGGAAAAAAAAATGAGACAGAGAGAGAAGGAAGGAAAAAAAAAAGGCAAAATTATTCAGACCAGTGTGCACAGAATGCTTCCATTTATATACAAAACGTTAAAGGAACCATATCTATGTCTGCTTGCGTATGTATAGTCTGTCTCCAGAAGGAAGCAGAAGAAGCTGGTCGCAGTGACTAAATAATTGTTTATTTTAAAACAACAACAAATTTCTGGGGGTGTGGCAGCAGGGAGGGGCAGAGGAGAAGAGAGAGGGAGATTATCGATAACATCTCTTACCTCTTACCACGCTGCTCCACACCTGTCTCCACCCTTGGTGGGCCCCAGCCGACTGAGGACGCTCCTTGTAAAAGGGCAGGTAAATGAAAGCAGCAGAACCATTGCTGATTAATTAGGAAATGAGTACATGCTGCATCCTGTCGGGATGGTATGTTCCAAACTGGGGAGGGGTGGATTGCCAATCACAGCTCCCTGAGCAGAACTTCCTTGCAAGGTCCTTTGTAAGGGTTGATCTGAGCGTCCCAGGTCAGCATGAGAAGAATAAGGGGGAGGAAAAGTATGCAGGGTTCAGCTCAAATGAAGAAATAAACAGTTTCTAGCTAGAAACACACAACAGTTGACAGCTTCCTGCTGGAAGGAAGGGCACTAACAGCCGTGCGCTGTTTGCCAGGCATCGAGTTGGAAGCTTTACGGACATTATCCCATTAAATCTTAACTAAAAGAAAATATGAGGGAGGTATTACTGCTCTTTTACGGATGAGCAAACCAAATCTCAGTGGGGTTAAGTAACTTGCCCAAATCACAGACAGTGGTGGAGCCAGGGCTCACCCCCAGATCTGTTGGGCCACAATGTCTATTCTTTTTATTGTATCTTGTTCCAGGTTGTGCTAGGACAGTAATACTGAGGGGGGGAATTCCTGAACTGCGTGGGAGGTTAAGCTAAATCACCTTAGGTCCCTTCCAAACTCAGAGCTGATGATGCTGTGAGGTATCCAGGGCAAGAAGTAGATGGTCCACTCATGCATCAAGATGGGAAGCCTGAAACAGGGTGGTTAGGGCTGGGTGCTCTGCTGCCCTGAGCAAGTGCAGGGGTCTTTTAAGAAAGAAGAAGAGGGACTTCCCTGGTCCTCCAGAGGGTAAGACTCCACACTCCCGATGCAGGGGGCCCAGGGTTCGATCCCTGGTCGGGGAACTAGATCCCACACGCATGCCGCAACTAAGAAGTCCGCGTGCCGCAACTAAGACCCGGTGCAGCCGAAATAGATAAATAATAAATAAAATAAATAAATACTTTTTAAAAAAGGAAGAAGAAGGGACTGGAAACTAGGCAGCCATCCAGCAGCGTCAGCCACAGCAGGGGCCAGGAGGCATGCTCCTCTCATCACCGGAGCACTTGAGCAGGGCAGCTTCATCCTGGCAGTGCCCAAGAGACCTCGGCAAGGGACACACAGCAGGGAGGTCAGGGCCTGGTGTCAGCAGCAGGGAGACACGGGAGCAGGGCAGAGCCAGAGCTGGGTGCTGTACGTGGTCCAGAGACCTTCCTATGAAACAAGGCACAGAGTGCAGGTTTGGGATTAGGAAATCATCCAGGAAGCTGAGCCCTGTCTCTGCAGAGTCTGGGACCCAGCATCCTGGGAGAAGTGCCAGAGGTGGGAGAAGGAAGCAGAAGTGGACATTTATAAGCTTCTGTTGCCTTTCAGGTGTCTCCCTCTGGGTCTCTGGGGCCCCTCTCTGTCCCTCCTGTCCACAGCACCATGCCTGGAACAGGTGAGCTCTAAAAATGAGGTTTCTGAATAGTACCAGAATTCTTTTAAATAATGGGATACTAGAACTGAGAGGTACCTACCTAAGTCAGCATTCCCAAAACGTATTTCAAAAGATGTTAAAATCTGTGCTAGGAAGAAAAGTCTTCTGTGATCAAGTAAGTTTGGGAAATGCTGGGTAGGCCAAGTTTGAACAAGTGTTTCTTTTTGTTTTAATTGCCGCAGTTTCTCCATACAAATGAACCGTATGGAAGGCAGGGTTTTCCAAACCAATTTTCTACAGAACTCTATTTTTCAAAGAATATTCCAAAGCATTTCAAAGAGCTAGAGAGGATGACCATACGACAGTCCCTTGTCCTGACATAATTACCAATAGCAGTGCCTTCGACCCTTCAAAGCATCTTAGCTTGGAGGGTGAAATATATGTCACCTTCTCCACAGAATGCTGTTTGGGAAACTCAAATACAGTTTAATCCAAATCTGTCGTGTTACAGAGGTCGAAAAGGGAATGCAAGGGGATGCAGGGAAGTGAAACAAGTTGCCACAGGCCACAGAGCTGCTTAGTGAATGGCCCGGGACTCCTCACTCCTGGTTGTGTTCTTTCTGGAAGACCACGAACCATCTGGAGATGGCAGCATCAGAGAGGCTGGCTGTCTTTACCTGTGCTCTCAGCTTCTCTTTTCCTCCCCGAGCACTTTGCTTTCTTTCCTCCTCTCTTCCTTTCCAAGGCTTCTGGTTCTTTTGCTCATCCTGCCCCGTGGTCCGGGGCTGCGTATGCCCAGCCCAGGGCGTGTCCTGGAGTAGGATGATTTTGGCATCTGTATCTCCTGCGTTCGGCTAGTCTGGGACTCGCAGAACCAGCCACACCGCTCTCCAGGGCCCAGGCCGAGGAGAGCGTGTATGAGGAGGGCCCCTTTGGGGCCGGGTGTCGATGCTAACATGGTAGGAGTTGGGCAGATGGGTGGCGAGTAGGGACAGGGTGAGCCCCCTTGGAGGATACGTGTCTGAATGCCACGAGGTCCCCAGACCCAGCCTCATTGTTTCCCCCTTGTTTTTGCCTGTCCCCGTTCTCAGTAACGTCATCCTGCCCCTCTGAGAACAACAGCAGGCCTTCGTCTCCTGGCCCAGGACTCCACGCCAGCAGCCCTACTGCATCTCAGAATAACTCCAAAGCGGCTGTGAACTCCTCCACCAGTTTTAACTCTTCAGGGTGAGGCAGAGGGGCGAGCCCAGAGACACCTCAGCGGGGCCGAGGGACATGTGAGAAGCTGTGTCTGGGTCAACACCTTGGGAAGGAAAGCTTGTCACGGGGCTGGACAAGGGGAATGGGGGGGGGCAGGGAGGGGGCAGGGTGGAGCACCAGACTGGACTCTCTCCCTAGGGAGTGGGATTTAAAAGAGAAGCCTCAGCCAGTGAGCAGTCCTGGCAAGGAGCTGATGTCAACAAAGCCAACATTTCCCTCCTCACTGGGAGGGTGGAAATTTCCAAACCCTCCTGTCAGAAAGGGCCAGGTCCTTCACTGGGCTGAGGAGAGTTACCCTCCAGGCCAGCCCCTCTGCTCTGGGGTGTTCTGCCCCGAGCCTGAGCTTCCAGCGTGGCTGACACCGTGAGAGCAGGAGGGTGCTACCCCGTAACCTCATGCTCCCACCCGGGATGCAGCGGGAAAAGCAGCCTCTCAAGCTTTGATTAATGATGCAAAGAATCTACTCTAAGAAGTGTTCTCAGCGGATGCCTCGAGAGATCCTTCCCCGATTCAGAACAAAACAGAGATTTGCAAGTTAGGCGATTGGTTGAAGACCTGAGCTTGTCGAAAGAAGTGAACCCGCTTGTCCACACCCAGACTGTTCAGCAAGGCAGCCACCTCTTATGGGCCAATTGTTGCACAGCCCCAAAGGTTGGAGCTCCTCAGCCGCCTCCACCAAAAAAAAAAAAAAAAAGAGAGAGAGAGAGAAAAACATATAATGTACATTTTAAAGAATTATCCTGAGATATAATTCACTTTCCATAAAATTTACCATTTTAAAGTGTACAAGTCGGTGCTTTTTAGTTTATTCACAAGGTTGTGCAATTGTCACCACGATCTGATTCCAGGACATTTTCATCACACCCCACCCCATACCTACCTGCTAACGCTCACTGCTCATTCCCATCTTCCCTCCTCATTAGAAGCTGTCCGATTGACTTGTTTCTTCCTTCCTTCTAGATCTTGGTACCGATGGAATCATCCCACCTACCTCCACTGAGACCAAAAAAGTTTCTCCTATGCCACCTGGCCCTGTATTCCCCACTGAAAGGAAGGGAGTCACGCCTTCTCTGTATGGACAGATTAGTTTCAGGACAGTAGAAGAGAATCTCCACTATCAATGAACCCAAACTCTTGCCTTGTTCAGGAGCAAGGGCCTCTGGAGACCCAAACTGCGACCAGCCAGCCCGCCTAGGAGTTGACCATTTTTACCTTCCTTGCCTGTGCCCTTCTCCTCTCGTTCCAAATATGTCAGATGGCTTCACTGCAACAGTGGTCTTTCAGAAAGGACCTCTTGGGCTCCCCTGGTGGCGCAGTGGTTGAGAGTCCACCTGCCGATGCAGGGAACGCGGGTTCGTGGCCCGGTCCGGGAAGATCCCACATGCCGCGAAGCGGCTGGGCTCGTGAGCCATGGCCGCCGGGCCTGCGCGGCCGGAGCCTGTGCTCCGCAACAGGAGAGGCCACGGCAGTGAGAGGCCCGCGTACCGGAAAAAAATTTTTAAAAAAGGACCTCTTGTCATTATTCTCCAGCTCATCTCCAGCTCATTCTGGGCACAGCCATTTGCCTGGTGCCAAACCACCAGAGGGGTGAGAAGGTTTTGACTCTGAACTTAGCCGCAATCTCCAAACTGATTCTAGAATCGATGAAAAGATTTGAATCTGATGTGTCTCCACCAAAGCTCTGATGTCCTCTCTGTTCAGCAAACTTTCTGACTCAGTCTCCATGTCACCCTATTTTCTCTTTAGCCCCACCCCTTTTCCAGAACCACATCCATTCATGATTGTGTTCTCTGAATTCCCTCCTCTTTACAGAACGCTGAGCCACGCTCGGCCCCCTGGGCACATTGCTCTGCCCACATTATCTGCTCCGTCTGCCCCAGAGTTCAGGAACGCTCGTTCTTTCTCTCCTTTCCTGTATTTCTCCTTATCTCGTTCTCTCTCCCTTCTCCTGGTGCAGAAGGAAGAACACAAAAGCACACACGCAACAATTATGCTGGCAAATACCTGTATATAGGTTAGCCCTTTCCTTTTTTTGCATTATGTTCTTCTCTCCTTAATGTGGAATTTTCCAGCAAAATGTTTAACTCAGGTGTGAATTGTGAAGATCTCTGTAATATTTTATCTTCTTTCACAAAAAAGAAAGAAAAAGAAAGGAAAAGCAATACCAAAGTGTGAAATACCCTGCTAGCTTCCACAAGAGTTCCCACGTGGGCTGGGAATCCTTGTTGATTTCTGCGGGAACATTCTCTCTCGAGTCTCCTTCTTTGTGGGCCAGTGTGTAAACATGTAACGTGAAGCCATTCCAGAAATGGTAACTTTTTGTTTTTTAGAGACAGCATGTCCAAGAAAATGATGAGATTCAAAGGAATCTCTCTGTTCCTAACTAAATTTGTATGGTGATGATATACAGTATTCCACTATTGGCAAGAAGAGGTTTAGATTATTCTGGGTCTTTTGTTGTGCAGGACATGTGAGTGCATGTAATGAAACGGGATGGAGAAAGGGTTTCAAATTGGTGGATTAAGTCTGTGACTCCCCGAACTGATGCTAAAGATGATATACATTAATACAGGACTCCAAAGAGTTCAGAGTTTCTACTCTTTTTGACAGAACAGCCTTGAGGACAGAGTCGGTAAGAGATTGGCTTCCTCATTTTGTAAGTGGGAGAATGGAAAATGTTTAAGATCAAGTCATTTGTAGACTTTAAGAGGTGAAGGCTGAGGCTAATAGTTCATATCTCAGGATGTCCCGAAGGTCAATTATTCATTATTCGCAATGGAAAGTGATAGATATTTGAGACAAGGGACAATTCAAAAGCCAAATCTATTTGGCTTTGGAATGCACTGTGACTTTTGATGAGAGGGTTGAGGGGCAAGGAAGCTATCCCTGTGGTTTTTCTTGGGTTAATAAAAATTTAAAGAGTTACCATTTTTGAGGCAAACATTGACCTGTGGTGGGAAAGGGAGGACCTTCAAAAATGTAATGACTGAAGGGAAGAAACTAAAATTGGCATTAAACATTTGTTGCGAATACTAATATCCAAGGGAGAAAACCATACCTAAATAACCATAAGGTAAGTGTTTTTCGTTTGAATGGGGCTTATACTAAGACTCATATTTCATGTCATGAAGTGGAAGAAAGCCTGTTGGTAGTGGTTACTTTGTCAAGAAAAGATCCAGTTGAAAGGGGCTCGGTATGTGTCAAAGAGACAATAGGAGCCTGCAGCAATAATTAAAGTATGTAAAGAAATTACTCTGCCACCCATGAGCCCATCTGTGCATATCTGTGCATACACACACACACATATGTATGCACTTTTCCTTGCATACCCGTGGGTGCCAGGGCTGATGCTTTCCTGCAGCAGTCTTGGCCACCTTGACATCTTGCTCAGGTGAGTGCTGAAAGCTAACGTCCTGCACTGTCCATGATGCTGGTTTTCACTCATTTGACCCTTTAAAAAATACTTTATTTTTTAAGAGCAGTTTTTGGTTTACAACAAAATTAAGAGGAAGCTATGGAGATTCCCCATAGACCTCCTGCCCAAACACGTTCGTAGCCTACCCCATTATCAACATCACTCACGAGAAAGTAAAATTTTTCTACCAAGAATGAACCTACACTGACACATCACAATCACCCAAAGTCCATAGTTTACCTTAGAGTTCACTCTTGGTGGTGTACATTCTACAGCTTTGGACAATAGTATAATGATGTATATCTATCATTATAATATCAGACAGAGTATTTTCACTGCCCTAACAATCCTCTGTGCTCTACCTATTCATCTCTCTCCCTGCTACGCCCTTACAACCACTGATCTTTTTTTTTTTTTTTTTTTGCGGTATGCGGGCCTCTCACTGCCGTGGCCTCTCCCGTTGCGGAGCACAGGCTCCGGACGCGCAGGCCCGGCGGCCATGGCTCACGGGCCCAGCCGCTCCGCGGCATGTGGGATCTTTCCTGACCGGAGCACGAACCCGCGTCCCCTGCATCAGCAGGTGGACTCTCAACCACTGCACCACCAGGGAAGCCCTGACCTTTTTTACTGTCTCCATAGTTTTGTCTTTTCCAGAATGTCACATGGTTGGAATCATTGTATATAGGCTTTCCAGGTTGGCTTATTTAGTAATATGCCTTCAAGTTTCTTTCATGTCTTTTCATGAGCTTGCTAGCTCATTTCTTTTTAATGCTGAATAATATTCTCTTGTCTGGATGTACCACAGTTTATTTATTCATTTACCTACTGAAGGACATCTGGGTTACTTCCAAATTTTGGCAATTATGAATAAAGCTGCTATAAATATCTGCATGCACGTTTTTGTGTGGACATAAATTTTCAGTTCCTTTGGGTAAATACCAAGGAGCGTGATTGTTGGATCGTGTGGTAAGCGTATATTTAGTTTTGTAAGAAAACACCAAACTGTCTTCCAAAGTGGCTGTACCACTTTGCATTCCTACCAGTAACATTACCAGAGTTCCTGTTGCTCTACATCCTTACCAGCCTTTGTTGTCAGCGTTCAGGATTTTGGTCATACTAATAGGTGTATAATGGTATCTCATTGTTGTTTTAATTTGCATTTCCCTGATGACATGATGTGGAGCAACTTTTCACATGCTTATTTACCATCTGTGTATCTTCTTTGGCGAGGTGTCTATTAAGATTTTTGGCCCATTTTTTAATCAAGTTGTTTGTTTTTGTACTGTTGAGTTTTAACAGTTCTTTGTATATTTTGAGTAACAGTCCGTTATCAGGTGTGTCTTTTGCAAATATTTTCTCCCAGTCTGTGACTTCTCATTCTCTTGATATTGTCTTTCACAGAAGTCTTTAATTTTAGTGAAGTCCAGCTTGCTAATTATTTCTTTCATGGGTTGTCTTTGGTGTTGTATCTAAGAAGGCATCACCACACCCAGCATCATGTAGGTTTCCTCCTTTGTTATCTTTAGGAGTTTTATACTTTTGTGTTTTACATTTAGGTCTGTGATCCGTTTTGAGTTAACTTTTGTGATGGTGTAAGGTCTGAGTCTAGGTTCATTTTTTCACATGTGGATGTCCAGTTGTTCCAGCTCCATCTGTTGAAGACACTATCTTTGTCCCATTGTGTTGCCTTTGCTCCTTTGTCAAAGATCAGTTGACTGTATTTACGGGGGTCTATTTCTGGGCTATTTGACCATGGTTTTCATGAAAGAAATAAACAGAATTACAGTCTAACTGCTCAGCCTCCGGTTGCCTTGGACAGTTGCTGAACAGGGTCAAACCTGAAGGTGGGTACCAATTCACATTTCATGTCTGCAAGATTCTGTAAAACTCATCATTCCAGTCAAGTTTAACAGAAGCCTGGTCAGCTTCCTCAGCATCTAATTAGGCACAAGAGAATCAAAGGGCAACAACCAGTCATTGTTTAGGAGGAAGGAAAGGGAAAAAGAATTGTTGCCGCTGCTTTTTGAACCTGCAAAACTTCAATCTCTTTTTTGAGGTACACGGGTCTCTCACTGTCGTGGCTTCTCCCGTTGCGGAGCACAGGCTCAGCAGCCATGGCTCACGGGCCCAGTCGCTCCGCGGCATTGTGGGATCCTCCCGGACCAGGGCACGAACCCGTGTTGCTTGCATCGGCAGGCGGACTCTCAACCACTGCGCCACCAGGGAAGCCCAGAACTTTGACCTTTATTTAGTTGACTCAAGACTGGTGGGCCCAGCTGTGGGTGCCCAATACTAAGGGCTTTTGGTCCAACTCAGAGAATGAGTTTAGTCGTAGACTCAAATTAGGAATCCTGTCCTGAGGCTCCAGGTTGCCGGTTCAGTGCCTCTTCTCCCTGTGCACTGTGTATCCCCCTGCTACATTCATGGACTGCTTTTGCTGACTCACCTGCTTCTAGTGCTAGACTGGGGGGAGCTCCTTGTAGCTGAGTCTATCTTTTTCTCTGCGACTAGTACATAATACGCAAGTCAGGTTTTTAAAAGTTGAATGCTTTCTTTTAACCTCTAAACAACTTCTAGTGCCTTTCACTGATGTTAGGAGCTGTGAATATAGAAAAATATAGCACCATCTGTAGTGGAGGCAGACTATCTTGGTGGTTAAGAGCATGACCTCCAGTGCCATATTGCCTGGGTTCATACCCAAATCTGTCTCCTATTAATCATGTCACCTTGAGCAAGTTCCTCAAGTGCTCTGTGCCTCAGTTTCTCACCTGTAAAATGGGGATAACAACAGTATCCATCTCGTAGGGTTGTTGTGAGAATTAAATGAATGAATATACATATATATTATATATATATTATATATATATATAATATATATAATATAAATATATATGTAAAGTGCTTGGAACAATGCCTGATACATTAATAAGTGTTATCTGTTATTATCATGATTATTATGATATTATTGTTATTCAGATAAATTGGTGGAGAGTTTCCTGTCCTCTGCTCTCTCTAACAGCCCAGAACTTTCCTGGGGGACACCACAGTTGACAAGCATATGATTTGGTGGAACAAGGGTTGTGGCCAAAGATATGTGAATTAATAAAATTTAATCCCAAGTAATGGAGCTTGAACCTGGAATCCCAGTCACCCCAGGATAAAGGCCTAATAAAGGCTCCACTGGAAGAACTAGCACCTTCCCTTATCCCCTCAGTCTTTAGACTCCTGAGGCCTTTAATATGTACTCTGTTCTTTCCTGGGAAATGGTGGCAGCAAGAAGATAATTCCAGATTCAGATACTAGAAGAAAAAAACAACACTGCAACAAAAACAAATGGGGAAAAAGTTGAGATGTGCATACTATATGTTCATTTAGTGAAATGGATCTTTCCTTGTTTTCTTCCTGCAGGCTATTACTACCTCTTATCTGGTCTTTTCCAACCCAATTGTGACAGGCTGTCTTCTCCAATTAGTCTTATACTGATTTTCATTGAGTCTCTATATGGCAGTGATTCTCAACTTTGGTTGCACAATGGAATCACCTGGGAAACTTGAAAAAAAAATTGACACTCACACAGATTCTGATTTACTTTGTCTGGGATGTGGCCCAGGGAACTGGGATTTTAAACAGCTCCTCAAGTGATTCTATTGTTCTGTCAAGGTTGAGAACCACTGCCTGAATGTGCATACAGATCATTGGGGACTTTGTTAAAATGCAGATTCTGATTCAGTAGATCCGGGGTTAGGGTCTGAGATTTTGTGTTTTTAACAAATTCTCAGGTGATGTAGATTTTGCTGGTCCCTGGACCAGACTTTCAGTAGCAAGGACTTGGAGAGAATGGTAAAATTATTCCCTTTGCCCAATATCATCATAGGTTTCCTATTATCTGCATAATAAGATGCCTCAGCCTGGCATCTTAGGCAGGCATCAGTCATTTAAGGTCCTTTAACATCAGTGGTCCCCAAATGTGACTAATCATCTGAAGATCTATGGGCAGATTTTAAAAGATACAGATTCCTGGGCGTCACACCAAGCCTACTAAAGCACAACCTTCAAGGTGCGGCCTGAACAAAGGGTATTTTGAAAACACTTCCCAAGTGGTCTAGATGGTCATTAAGGTTTAGGAGCTTCAATATGCTTCCAATATACATTTCCAGGCTCATTGCCCATTCATTCAACCAGCAAACATTTATTGCACCTGCCTCTGTACCAGGTACTAGGGAAACAAAAATGAAAAGAGTGTGATCCTTACTCTTAAAGGGCTGGCAAGACAAATGACCCAAACAAGACTATTTATTATTTCCCAGACATGGCCTAAATGCTCATAATTCTTCTCAAGGTCTTCTCTTCTTAAGAATATCTGGGCCCCTCAGCATCCTACCTTTGCCTGTCCTGATCAACCAACTCAGATGCTCTCTTTACCCCATTTGCATCTCCATACTTATGTTTGGTTATCTCTTCAAACTTACTTTCCCTGGTATTAAAACAGATCCAGAGAGGAGAGAGGATTAACCCAAAGTGAGGTAACAACAACAATAATTAACATTCATATAACGACTTCCATGCACCAGCCATTGCTGTAAGCACTTTCCACATGTAAAGTGTGTAGAATTCTTGCAATAACTTTATGAGACAGCTATTATTATTATCCCCATTCTATGAATGAGAAAACGGAGGCACAGAAAAGTAACTTGTCCAAAGATACACAGTCAGTAACGGAGCCAGGTTTACCCTCAAGCTTTATACTCTACTGCCAAGTTGGTGACAGGGTTGACATGAGAAGGAATATGCAACTCTAATTTTCAGGCCTGAGCCCTTCCCTGGAAATTAGTTATTTGTGTGCTTGTTTCACAACTTAAGACTCAAGCGTGAGGGCAGGGACTATGTCTTTCATCTCACACAGTGCCTAGCAGGGGTGCAAGCACTTAGTAGGTGCTCTACAACTGGTTATGGGATGGGCTGTCCCATCGTGGGGGGCGGGGATGGATATTTATTCTAACAAACAGACAACAAACAAATACATAAGCAAGGGCAACAGCCTGCAGGTCTCACGTCACCACTAGGTCATCATCACCCCTCACCACCACCGCCCCGCCCCCTCAGGCCTGCGCGAAGAAGGAGGACCCTCCCGCCCGCTTTCCGAACAGTCTCTGGTCCAGCTCTGGCTGTGCGCTCCGTCCTCCCAGCCAGCAGGTGCCCCCAGACCACCGGCTCCTCCTCTGCAGCCGTCAGAGCCTCGTCCTCTCTCCCTCTTTCCGCTGCTTCCTGCTCCCGGGATCCGGGCCCTGAGCCCCGGGGCCGGGGTTCCCGAGGCCTCCCGGGGCGCTCGACCAGGTAACTGCGCGGCGGGGACCGCCCGGCTCCCGCGGCCGGGATGGGCTCCCGACATGGATGGCCCGGCCTGCGCGGTCCGCTGCGGGGGAAGGAAGCGGGCAGATGGCCTGGCCTGGCCTCTGAGGGGAGGGGGGGGTGGTTTCCTTCTGCCTTTGGGCGCCGGCGCGGGCGCCGGGTGGGATGCTGGCATAGCGGTCCGGCTCAGGTGAGCCCAAGCCGGGCGTGACCACAGTGTAGGTAGGCGCGTCCGGGGGAGATGCGCTCGCGGTGCCTGCCAGGCGCCGAGGTTGCTGCTCGCTCCAGCCACGCCTGCTCCGAGGCCCAGAGCCAGGTGGGCCCGCCCAGCGCTCCTCCTCCCGAATCTGGCCCTGGACCGGGAGGAGCAAGGACAGGAGCCTTGGAATTCTGAGCTGGAACGGCCATCGGCCATCTAAATACCCTGTCATTCTTTCACCCAAGAGTGAAAAGCCGAAACACGGAGATGGAGTGACTTTCCCAAGGTCACAGAGTTGTATCTGCCATTTATAAATGTCTATTCTTTTATTTGTTTGTAAATGGGCTACCGTGTCCTCTGTTCTGCCAGGGAATTAGGATTCAGGGAAGAGGACTCTAAAAATACTAATCGGCATATCCAAATGAGCTGATCCGCATTACTGGCCGGTGACCCTGGCCTTTCAAAGGAAGTGAGAGAGGACAGTTCTTTTCACTCTGGGTCCTTTGTACCTCTGGCCCTTGCTCTGAAAATTGGCCTGGATGTTTTACGAAATTATCTCAGAACTCCTTGTCAGAACTGGGCTGGATCATAGAGTTATTTTCAATCCTTTTTTCTTTCCTTCCTTTCTCTCTCTCTCTCTCTCTCTCTCTCTCTCTCTCTCTCTCTCTTTATCTTGAG